TGTTTTAAGTGTGGAAAGCATGGGCATTATGCCAATGAATGTACATTCAACGAAAAGGTATGTTACGGATGTAATGAGGAAGGGCACTTCAAATAGGACTGCCCAAAGAGGGAAGAAGCTACAAAGCCAAATATTCCAATGAAACATTTTGAGAGATGCGACGAAGAGGTGACTTGCTGTAAGTGTGGAAAGACAGGGAATTATTCCAACAAGTGTGTATCCAAAAAGAGGGTGTGTTATGAATGCCGAGGAGAAGGGCATTTATTTAGGTACTGCCTAAAGAAGAATGAGGGAGCAAAACCAAATGCACTGCCATAGCCAAAGGCAGAAGCATTTTAAATGATCCTTGACGAAGCAGATGACAAAGCGAGGAGTCAAGGACGAAGAACTCGTATCAAGGTATAGCTAGTATCAAGAAGTGTAGCCTATTAGAGGCACGGTATAGGGTGAACTTGAACTTTTGTGTAATAGTTTCAAGAATTAATATAAACCCTGGTTTTGTTATTTGATGTGTTGAATGACATCTATCGAAGGATATCGTAAGAGTGGTATCTTGCCTTCAGAATACGTCTGATAAAATAACGGAATGTTAAGAGGATTACAATACGTATGAAGTACACCTGCGATTGGCAAGATGATGGAACGACTGGTGTAATTTTTGAAGTTATCCCATCGTCTGGAATTTCCATCACCAACCGAGTTGAAGTAGAATTGATGATTGAAGATACGCATGGAAGAAGTCCTAGTAGAGTTTAGGAGAATTTTTATGATTAATTGGACACATTAGCATGTGTTAAATTGTTTTGTGATTTTAGGACTTGGGGACTGCGAGACAATACTTGGGACGAGTATGAGTAGGTGTGAATAGTAGTAGAGATCTATACCACTGGAAGCACATGACTCACGCTTGGATCAAGGAAAGTTACACGGTTACCAAGAAGCTTGTAATTGAGTTCATTTTTATTCAAGTATGTCATTACCATTGTTTCAGTAATGACTAGTAAGATGGTTGTTATTCCGACCCTAGTGGTCATATCAAATTGAGTCCGACTATGATGAGAGGTCGTTAAAACACGACCCATCAGTCTATTACAATAGATAAATAAAAGAATTTATCCTGAGAAGAAGAAGGATTCCACAATAAGGACTTATTTGGTAACTTGAAGTTTACGATTGAAAGTACATAATAGTACGATAAACAAATGCAAGATTGGGCATCTTTTGTGGTCAAGAAAGCCATCGAGTTAAATACTCTTTCGAGGAAACATAGAAGTTACGGTTATTACCTAGGATGAAGAAATAACGTGCGGAATCATTATGCAAGTCCTATTTCGTTGATGATTCCGGGACATAATCATCCTAAGGGGGAGATAATTGTAACGCCCGTAGATCCGGGCTAGTCAAATTAGAGACGATAAGCATCAAAAAATGACTTTTTGATGGAAGATTATTTAGAAGGATTAATCTTAACCAAGTTTTAGTATATGTCACAAGGTTTCCGTGCATATAAAGAATGCCAAAATCCGAGTTATAATGAAGAAGTTATGACCTGTCGAAGTTTCGCGATAAAACCGACATGACCCAGCGCGACCTAGCGCAACGTAAATAGTGAATTTAAGGTAGATAGATATCTATCCTTAGTGATCTAAATGAGATTCGAAGATTTCTTCGATAGTAGTCCAACGATAAAAAGACAGGCGAAAACGGAGTTCAGATGAAGGAGTTATGAATTTCGAACAGAGTTTTCCTGTCCCGGCTTACTAAAGATAATATATAAGTAATATACTGATAATATATTAAAAATAAAGTTAAAATTGGCCAATGGAGTCTAAACGATAGTTGTAGAGCCTAATCTCACCTTCGCGGCGATATAAAGAACGTCGAAAACGGAGTTCGTATGCGAAACTTATGAACTTCTGAAGTACGGGGCGCGAACCCCAAAACTGTCAGAGACCACGACGTGGCAAGCAGTGCCACGACGTGGCAGGTCTTCTGACACCTCCGGGAGTCCCCCAGATGCAACTTGAGATGACGCATGCACTAACGATCAAGCCCACGACGTGGAAAAAGGTTCCACGACGTGGCAAGGGCCAGTTTTGCCCTATAAATAGATTTGAAGGGCCATCCGAGTTTGGTTGCTCATTCTCTCATCTCTCACCCATATTACTTCGATTTACGTGCAAAGAAGTACCCCCGAAGCCCCAGTATCATCCCGAGACCCGAAGCGAGTCCCGAAGCCCGAAGATCCCGAGAAGAAAAGAGTTTCCGAGTCGAAGCTCTGCCCACGAGGAGTCCGGTTTTTTGTGAAGATCTTCTAGATCTACCGAAGAATACTACTTCTACAAGCCGTAATGTTGTCAGATCATCTTCTGATCAAGTGAGTGTGTAGTTACTTTCTTTTAACGCATAACTATGAAGTATTTTATACGATATACGCGTTATGTGTATAGTTTGTTGTTATATGTGTGAATGTATATTCACTTTCTTTTATCTCATAGATCTGATTTATTCTCTATGAAATGTGTGTTATGTGTGTGTGCCTCGTCTGTTATGTGGAATATGTATTGATTGAACATGCTATACAGGTTTTAAACTATGTATAAAAATATATATTTTTATCTACTAATATGTTGGGTAGAACATGGGTAGATAGTTGTGTGATAAACAGATGAGAGGCCTTGATGTCATTGTGATCCAGTCATCTAGCGGAATTTAGACGATGACCACAGACTCTTTCTAGACAGTCCCGTGGAACACTATCAGGCTCATAACCTGTAGGTGTTAATGAACTTGGGTGTTCATTCGTTGTATTCCATCCCCCTCATAGTTGCCTTATTTGAGTTATATTGCTGAGGAACCCCCGAAGCATGTGTTGTCGCCCCGATGAAATATTCTTAGACTAAGTTCCTTGTGTTAGTTGTCTTAGGGATGTAAAGTGAGAATAATGGGAATGGGTAATTGGGTTATTATTGGTTGATGAAATTAAATTAATTATTTATTGTGGGTTGAAAACCCTATATGTTCACCAGACTCCCAAGCCTGACCCACTCAGTTTTCTTTGCATTGCAGGTAATGACACAAGAGTATAAGTTGGTGGACTTGACGAGAGCTTTTGGATTATAGATCAGTAGTTATAAATAACTGTTGTAAGGTCTATTTTGTTCTGTTTATGCTTTTGGTCTGTATCGGAACATGACATCCCGAGGTTTTTATTATTTAATGAAAATACATTTCTCTTTGAGAAATGTTTTGATAAATGGTTATTATATTTTGTTTTGGGAACAAATTCCGCAACCGTTTTCTTTAAAAGATTTACTCTGATTTTATAAAACAAAGCATAAACAAATCGGTTTTTTTTTACGTGAAATTGGGGATGTCACACAATTATATGGTGATGTTTGTTCTTTTATTCAGTTTTATTTAGTTTTATGTGTTTTTATTTACATCATTCGTTTATATGTCAATGCTTCTTCATTTATTGCGTAAATAATTATATTTTTTCGTATAACTATTTATGAAAAAACCAAAGTAAAACTATTCAATTATATATATATATATATATATATATATATATATATATATATATATATATATATATATATATATATATATATCCTTAAATGAGAAGAAAAAAACGAACATTAAATAATTTTATTGGACGACTGATAACTATCCGGGTTATTGTTTTAATTTGTTTATTCGAAAAAACATCAAAAAAATCATTATATAATTTAAATGAACAAAATGTAAAAAAAAAAAGAGAGAGAACATTTAATAATATATTCAGATAAAATATCAAAAATATTAAAAGATTTTTAAACCATAAAAATAAAGATAAATATATAAAGCAATAAATAAATAATAATAATAAGAATATGACTTTATATAATTTATATAATTTAGATAACTGATTTAAAAAATAAAAATAATTTTATAAATAATCTATATTAATTCTATTAAAATAAAGATAAAAAACAATTATATATATATATATATATATATATATATATATATATATATATATATATATATATATATATATATATATACACACACACACACGAATTCCATTAAGCCATAGGGATCATTTCTATAATTTACTCTACAAATAAACTACAAGGCAACATCCACCTGTGATTTTGTTGTCAAATTTTGCAAAACTTGATAATTAAATTTATTCAAATTTTTATTATTAAACTATTTAATAGAATTTATTTGTAATATATATATATATATATATATATATATATATATATATATATATATATATATATATATATATATATATATATATATATATATATATATATATAGAGTCAATGCATATCGAATGGAATGTAAATAAGCATTTTTCTAAATGACAAAACTAATTATTTTAAAAAATATTTGTGGATCTAAAGGATATAACATACTATCCATAACTAGTTGGACTTTGTTGAGGAACCTCACTACTTCTGGTACGAAAAATAACAAATATATCAAAATACAAAATGTATAAACATATGAGGTGCTCGAATACACTCAAAAATTATTTTTCGTCTAATAGATACGTTCAAGTCGACTTCTATATCTTGACGATAAAAATGAGAGAACCATATTTGATAGAATAAAAGAGACATGTCATGTAAAATCTAAATAAAATAAAAATATCTAATATCAAAATGAAAAGATGATATAGATATGTGAGTTTGTTTTTATCATATGACAATCATTTTTTTTGTCTCTTTAATATAATTGATTATTCAGAAACTATATGATGTAATAATTTATCAAGACATAGTTGAAACTAATTACTATTATACTTTTAAATTATAGTAAATACTTAACAAATTTGTGACCTAATAACGTTTAACTTCGTAAGCACACCGACGCGGGTGGCATTTCTGTCATTTTACCTAGTCAATAATGTCCCATTGACGTTTAATAGTGCAGTGGCACTATCGTAATAATCTCCATAAATCAAACCCAATTGTGTTAACTCCACTCTCTTACACTCTCCACCATCATTATGTCCGTTAGAATGCTCTGCTCTCTATTTTCTTTCTAACAAAAATGCTCTCCCCCTTTTCTTCCTTCCCTTCGACTACAAATTCTTCACAAGATCACTGAATTCCTGCACTTTGATCTTCATTTTTGGCATCTGATCTCCTCCGGAGCAATGGCGGTGTCCAATAACACATCCTCCACCGACGGCGGTGTCAGTCTCACCTCGAAAACACCAATATTTGGCCAAAAACTCTACGTCATCGTCGCCGTCACCGTACTAATTGTTACAGCTGTTCTCGTAGCGATCTTCTGTTGTATTCGTCGAAATTTGAATTCTAAACGACGTCGTAGGATGCGCGTGAAGCACAGCTCGGGATTGTTGCCGTTGGTCTCGGAGGCGATCAACATCGAGAAGATTGAGAAAACATCGAAAATCAGTGTTTTTCAGAAGGATGATAGAGAGAAGGAAGAGATTAGACCGATAATCAAAGTTGTTGAGGGTAAATTAGGGAATACGAATTCTGGTAGTAATGAATCGGGTACGAGTTGGAGTGAAGGGGCGTCAACGTCGTTGTCGGCGGATGGTATGAATAATTTAGGTTGGGGCAGGTGGTACAGCCTGAATGAGCTTGAAATTGCGACGAGTAACTTTGCGCCGGAGAATGTGATCGGAGAAGGAGGGTACGGAATTGTGTATAGAGGTGTTGTACGAGATGGTTTTGTGGCTGTGAAGAATCTTCTGAACAACAAGTTAGTTTTCTAATTTCTTCGGCTTCTCTTTTCAAATTCTGTTCCAAATCGAATTGAATGTATGCTATTTGTGTACATTCATTTTGAAATTTCTCTTCAAATTTACTGAGATTTTCATTGAATTTATTTGGAAGAGACGATCTGCACTTCTTAGATCTAAGATTGATTCTCGCCGGTGCCGGCGTCTGGGATTAAAACAACGCCATAATTAGTGAAAATGAACGGTTTCTAACAAATTACACAAATGTAGATACAAAACAACCATTAAAGTTGACTTTTTTATACAAAATGACAATGTTCTTGCAAAACATAATGTTTCTCTCTTTGCATTTTTACAGACCAAAATGATATCGTGTTGAATAAATTAAAATATAATGGTTTGAAAGGGACTTATTCAACAAAAAATAAAGCAATGTATAGCTTTATCAATTATCATCCCTCTTTTTTCAAAAGAAGAAAAAGAAAAACTTTGATTTTTGGGATATATTTCTTATTGATCACCGATATTATTTTATAAAGCAAAATTCCATCCACATTTTTTCTTCTCTAAATTGCATCTCATTCGACATTTAAATATTAAATTTTCTTTATTCATACTGAATGTAACATTATCTTATTCCCCACTTAATTCCCCAACTTGTTCATTTACTTTTCGTAAAGAACAAAAGGAAAATGTTTTTTTTTCTTTAAATTAATATTCTACATAAATAGCAACAAAAATCTTTGTATGGAAGTGACTTTCATCCAAAGCATAACTGTTCTTCCATGAAAAACTAAAATCCTATATTTGTCTTGATCTTTGCAATAAAGATACCTCATTTAGTCATTCATCCTGGAAAATTATCAACACAAATAAAAAAAAAATCCCAGATTTATCATCTTGTTGCTTATTTTGCCCCCTATTTTCCTTTCAAAAAATGGATCTGTGAACAATCTACACTGACAATTGGTCCCCTCTGAATAAATTGTAAAATAAAAATCAGATCACATGGTCTTTGGTGTAAAGAATGTGCTTCTCATTTGAGAAATGTGAGAGTAGTTGCACCAAAAAAATAAGGAAATATATAATATAATATAATATAACACTTTCCAAAGTGTTGAATATCTTTAATATCTTATTTTAAAATGTTTGTATGGGGCTCGAGGAGACTTTAGAATTTAAATGTAGATTATGCGTTACTCTTGGTGCATACTATTTTCTTTACAATATTATTTTTTGCATACTTGAAACTTTTATTACCAAAATAATGCATAGTGTGTTAACTAACTTAATTTTAATAATGTCAAAATTTTATAGGGGTCAAGCAGAAAAGGAATTTAAGGTGGAGGTTGAAGCCATTGGAAAAGTTAGGCATAAAAACTTGGTGGGTCTCCTTGGATTTTGCGCAGATGGTGCTAAAAGGTATAATTAATTATCAAGAGGGCATTCACGTCTTTTGAACAGACAAGAAACCATGTGGGACAGAAAGTCATAAGCTTTTGACAATCACATGTCATCTGTCTGTTATCTGTTATCTGTCATCTGTTTGTTATCTATTATCTGTCTGTTATCTGTCATTGTTTAGATATTTAATTTAGTAAGTTATGCGACATTTAAAGATGGAGTAGAGTATGCTAGTTAAGGATAGTTTAACTTGGTCAATGCAGGTTGCTTGTGTATGAGTATGTTGATAATGGAAATTTGGAACAATGGTTGCATGGTGATGTTGGACCAATAAGCCCTTTAACATGGGATATTCGAATGAAGATTGCAATTGGGACAGCTAAAGGGTACGTGTGTACTTTTCTTTTATTTCTTACAACTAATAATCGTGTACTTTTGCTTGTTCATACACACTTGAGGGATATATATATATATATATATATATATATATATATATATATATATATATATATATATATATATATATAATACAAAGACATTTACAACAATGATGGTTGAAGATTGAATATTTCACATGCTATGAGATTAATAACCCGAGATCCAATAATTTATGATATTTGTTCCACTTTCCAAATAAAAATTAAAATTTTCGTCTCTTAGTATAGTTGATTTTTGCACTTTTGGTTCCAAAAAGCTTTTTCTTGCAATTTTAGTCCTTGTTTGAGGTTCTTGTAACGTTTTTGGTCTGTGTTCCAAGTAAAGTATAACTAAAATTTTCGAATTTTGGTTGTAACAATGACCAAAAGATTAAAAAAACCTCGAATAAGGACCGAAATTGAAAAAAAAAACTATACCCAGGGACCAAATATGTAATGTACTCAAAAACTTAAGAACATTTTGTTGGGATTTAAAAAAATAAAATATTTGCATAGCTTTATAAGAATTAATTAATAAATCTATTTGACAAAAAAACAAATCAATCATTATGAAAAAAGTCCGACTCAAACTGAAAACTGACTGATAGTCCTAAAAAGACAAATCAATCATGATGAAAAAAGTCTGACCCAAACTAAAACTTGACCGACAGTCCTAAAAAGACAAAAAAACAATGGAAAACCCTAAATTTGGAGTATCACGGTCCCCAAAAAGACTTTATTGAGGAAAAGCAGACTGGTTAGGACTGGACTTAAACTAATTTATTTGCATTAGGTTGGCATATTTACACGAAGGATTGGAACCAAAAGTTGTTCATCGTGATGTTAAATCAAGCAACATTCTCCTCGATAGAAAATGGAATGCAAAAGTTTCCGATTTTGGACTTGCCAAATTATTAGGATCTGAAAAAAGCCATGTCACCACACGTGTAATGGGCACATTCGGGTTAGTAAAAAACTTACCTTTTCTTTAATTTTTTTTTTTAACATTTTTACATTTTATATTTATCTTACACCACAAATATATGAATCTCCAGATACGTGTCTCCCGATTATGCAAGCACGGGGATGTTAAATGAGTGTAGTGATGTCTATAGTTTTGGAGTTTTACTTATGGAAATGGTTACAGGAAGAAGCCCCGTTGATTATTCTAGAGCACCCGGAGAGGTATAACTAAAATTTTGAACTTTTTCGTGTTGTAGATATATATTTTTTTAGAGTAATTTACATTTTTGGTCCTTAAGTATAGCTGGTTTTTGCAATTTTGGTCCCAAAAAGGTTTCTCTTACGGTTTTGGTCCTTATTTGAGTTTCTTGCAACTATTATGGTTCATGTTCCAAGTAAAATTACTATTTTTAGGTCTCTGAGTATATAGCTGTTTTTTGTAGTTTTGGTCCCAAAATCGTCATTTTACTTGGAACAAGAACCAAAAATGTTACAAAAAAAACTTGATGTACGACCAAAATTGCAAAAGAAAACCTTTTGGTACCAAAATTTCGAAAATCAACTATGCTCAGAAACCAAATATGTAATTTACTATATAATCATTTTACTCGGACACATGGACCAAAATGTTAGCAATAAATACCTCAAATAAGGACAAAAATTGCTAGCGAAAACGTTTTTGGACCAAATATGTAATTTACGCTTTAATAATTTTACTAGAAACATGGACCAAAACCGCAAATAAGGGCCAAAATTGCAAAAGGGAATTTTTTTAAGACCAAAATTGAAAAAATAGCTATACTCAAGGACCAAAAATGTAAAATATTCATTTTATATAAAACTTGTTTGTGTTGGTTTTTATTTTAGATGAATTTGGTCGACTGGTTTAAAGGAATGGTGGCAAGTCGTCGTGGAGAAGAATTGTTAGATCCCAAAATTAGCATACAACCTCCTTCAAGAGCTTTAAAGCGCGTATTGCTCGTGTGTCTTCGTTGTATAGATATGGACGCAAATAAGCGTCCAAAAATGGGCCAAATCGTACACATGCTTGAAGCAGACGATTTCCCTTTCCGCACCGTGAGTCATCTCAAACTTTCACCCATGGTATCTTTACAGACATGTGTCAGCAGACGCAGTGTGAGAGTTTCAATTCCAATGTGGATTGAAGGGTTCGTGTCAGTAGACACAGTGTATGAGTTTCATTTCCAATGTGGATTGGGCTCCTTGTGGGCCCTAAGCCTCACAGATAATGTGTAACGTGCAATGTGAGTGTGAGTCAGCTCAAGGGTTGCTGGAAGAATAAGACTGTTAATATATTAACGATGAGTTTTTCTTGGTTTCATTTTGTAGGAGCATCGTCCGCCTAGAGACACGGGTATGCTGAATTTGGGTGTGGATGCCGCAAGTAAAACAACTTCAATGAAATAGTTTTGTTGTGGGTCACATTATCATAATTTGTTTGTTCTTTATTGATAATATGATAATATATATATATATATATATATATATATATATATATATATATATATATATATATATATATATATATATATATATATATATATATATATACACACAAATGCATATGTTTTAAAACATGGACATCAAAGAGCATTGTAAATATTAGCGAATTATTTGCATTTTTTTACTTGAAATTATTGGTTTATTAAAAATGGTAGCTTTTAGAACCACAAGAAATCGTGAAGTGTCACCTTTTTTTTTGTTTATTATTATCAGAGTGCAAATATATTTTGTTTGATGGAATATAATCAACTAGGTAAGGAAATGGACGAGTAATGGCATTCGATGATATTCCATGAGTAATGGCTTTCCATTTCGTCCTTCATTCAGCCATATTTCTATTGTGTTGAACAAGTAATGGCTTTCCATTCCTTCCTTTATTCAGCCAAAAGAAACGCCATTCAAGACAATCGACAAGATTTTTAATGGGTCTGAGACCTTTAGTCTCATATAGCCTCCTATGGTGTTTTCTTGAAACGTATTTGTGAAGTTATAGTGGATAATGATATGAAAGGTATTTGTGAAGTTAAAGTGGATAATGATATGCCATGGATGGCCCTCACCATTTTTATTAACATAATTATTATTTCATTTATAGTCGTTACATTACATCCGATACACATTTTATACCCTTTCTTCTTTTATTTAATTCTTGACAAAATTTGGATATTTCAGATATAAATTATATCATTTAATAAAGTTAATAATACATTCAATATTAAATATGTTTCGACAAACTTTTGTTATTATAAAATTTATTTTTTATCTTTATAAAACATGAATTTTAATATATCATGACAAAATCATAATAAACGAGTAATAATATTTTGTTTTTGTATTAATATATGATATGGGTAACCCCGCTTTTTTATATTTGACAGTAAATTTGTTTTGACTTATTCATAATATGCTAATATCAACAGTAATTACCAACATGTACAAAAAGAAAACATGTTTGCTTAAATATGGACAAAATTCAAAGCTCGTTACCCAAAGAACTATTATGTAATGTGTGTGTTTTAGAGGCCATTGTACTTTATTTTTGTATTTACGATGTTAGTATGTTTTTATGAGTGATGATGTTAGGTCAATTGGCATGACCTAAACAGTTTGACAACACGTTTTGCAACACTGCATGGTTGTCTATGCAATGTTGTTTGGTGGTGTTGTCATGTCGTGCTGTCATACAGTGTTGTAACATCCGGACTCCCATGTATCTTATTTTATGCATTTATATTGAGTTTTTGGAGAGAGACTCGGCGAGTAGGCGCTTAGATTCGCCGAGTAGGATTGCGGATGGTCGGACTGATTTAATGGCGGACTCGGCGAGTCCACGCTGTTTAATGAAACCCTAATCCCCGGGGGTTAGGACCTATTTAAAGGGGTTTATAGCCACCATTTGCGGCTACCAGACCCCTGAGAGGAACCCTAAGAGATCCAGAGCGTTTGTGAGGAAGAAGAGGTCATTTTTGATCTTTGTGTGGGTGTTTTTGCAAGAAGAAGGTGGTCAAGGCATGAGGGAACTAAAGAGGGCGATATTCTGTGGATTTCAGAGGCTAGGGACTTCGTTCTGAGGTATATATTTCGATCCTTCTTCAGTTTGGTGTTAATCCTTGAGAGTTAGGGTTTCTAGCCCCTTTAGAGTATGGATTGTGGTGCAATTGGTCCCTTCTTGTGTTGAGACTTTGGATCTGGATCCAAAGTGGTCCAGAGACCTTAACTCCTTGATCTTTATGAGTGTATTTGGGAGATAAGAGTTTGGGATGGCATATTGGGGCCATTTCTTCATATAGAGGCATTAGGTCTTTGCATGGGCATCAAGATCCAAACTTTACGTGTTTATTTTGCTTAAGGAGGCCAGATATATAGGTTAGAGGAACGGGTCTGACCTCAGGAGGTCGTTTGAGTTTGAGCATGGCTTGAAATCGCAGAGTCCAAGAACAGACACGACGAGTAGGATGGTTTTTCCCCCATAAATCACGCAGATGGTAACTCGCTGAGTTGGGGAAGTGACTCAGTGAGTCATTGGGGATTTTGAGGACGTGAGTTCATGACCAAACTCGCTGAGTCACAATTGTGCACTCGGCGAGTCTAGTTAAAGAGTTGACCATTGACTTTTGTTGACTTTTAGGGTTTGGTCAACTTTTGAGTATTTGAGCCTTGAAAGGGGTAAAATGGTCTTTTACCCTCCTGAGAGTGCTAAGAGAGGGAATGGTCTAGCCTTGGGAAATGTGTTGATGTCGAGTGTTTATTTCGTATGATTAGGCGGAGGCTAGATCCTATTTCACGGAGTCCGATATTTCCGAGTTATCGAGTTACACGAGGTGAGTCTTCTCATTATACGTTACCTAGAGTGGTATTATGAGTTGGCCAGAAGGTCTTATGTGCTATGTATGAGATTGTGTGCCATGTATGAGATTATGTGCTATGTGATGTAAGTATGATATATAATTGTATAGACCGGACCGGAGGGTCCAACGATTCAGACTGGGCCGAAGGGCCCAACGAGCTATTACCGGACCAGAGGGTCCAACGAGCTATGGGACCGGAGGGTTGTCACACCCCAAAACCAAGAACGGCGGAAACGTTCTGGGGCGGAGGACGTTATGTAAGTATCACAACACAGTAAATGTAAATAAGCAAACAACATCATCCATTGCATCAAATATATAATTTTAATACAAGTGTGTTCTATACATTATAGACACCAAAAATAACGTATATCAAAATAATAAGATGAGTCTTGAATGCGCTCCATCTTCTCAAAAGCTGGCCTCGGTACCTGTCTACTGACGACCTGAGAATACAAGTTATTTTGAAAGAGTTTATCAGCATTAAGCTGGTGAGTTCATAAGTATTTTTGTGTCGGTATTTGTCATCCAAATGTTTGAACATGTGTAAAGTATAAGTTTGTAAAATGTACGTAAAGTTTGCAATTATTTGTAAAAGTTTGAATCTCTCAGAAAAACCTATATTTTCTATTAAAGTAGCCTTCTACCAAGGCTTAACTGTTTTGTATGCTCATTTGATGTAAAAGTGTGTAATTTCCCAAATGTAACTATCATTTAACAAAATATAGTTTGTACATAAACGTTTAAGTGAGGTTATCACTAAAAATATGTAATGGGTAAATTATTGTAGTACTGTAGCCTTGTATTATAAGAACTACTGTTGTACTAACTACCTTAAACCGGATTTATATTAAGGCATTACGTGATAAATTGCACCATACTATCGACTAGTAACAACGACAAATGAATGGTCGTAATAACGGAATGACGTTTGGCACCCGCAGACCTGCAGGTCCGGCTGTAGCTAGCAGCAAGGTGTAGGATTGTCAATCCAGTATAGATCTATACGCAAACTCACGCTCTCCCTTCAAGAGAATTCTGGCTACAACTCGAGCCATGACAGTTAAGTCATGCTCCGATTTAAATCACAATAATAAAGTATTCATGTATATGTACTGTTTCTCGTTCTAGTATATGTATATGTATTGTTTCTAGCATCATTGTACATGTATTGTTTCTAGTATATGTATATGTATTGTTTCTAGCATCATTGTATAAGTATTGTTTCTAGCATCATTGTATAAGTATTGTTTCTAGTATATGTATATGTATTGTTTCTAGCATCATTGTATAAGTATTGTTTCTAGTATATGTATATGTATTGTTTCTAGCATCATTGTATATGTATTGTTTTATGTATTGTGTTACCCCGATGGTAACTAACTATTGATGTACTGATAAATATGAATATGGAAGTACTTTTATGTCTATACATGTATATATGATATATAACTAATGTTGAAACGACCTTCGGATGGTCACCCGAAATCCCACCAGACCACATCTCAGTGCGCGAAAAGGAAATAGGGCGGATGGCCTTCCTAAGCCCTTTAAACATTACTTATATATATATACATATATGGGCATGCAATTTATAAGAAGTAAAACAAAGTTTAATAAAAGCATTTGATAAGTAAAAAGAGTTTGTAAAACATTTGAAGTGAAACAGTTTGAACATTGGTAAAAATCGTTGTTTTCCTAGTTATTAATCACATGTGATTAAATGCAATCACATGTGATTGAAGCAATAACTATAAGTATTTGACTTGTATTCCCCCCATAAAGTATTTAAAACATTTAAAATCATTTCAAAGGTTGATTCAAGGGGTATGAACTCACTTGTGGTGAGTCGTTTGAATTGCAGTGTCGGATACCGTGCTAGGTGGCAAACGGAGACTTGTTTACTCGCACGAGCCTAGTTATCATATAATAAGCATATATATAACTAATTAGACAAATAATAACTTAAATAAATAAGTTAAGACACTTAGGAAACATGTAAACACTTTTATGAGTGTTTAAGGTTCAAATGGTTGCATCTAAGTTGCTACGGGACAAGGCAAAAGGGTTTGAAACATCAAATGGCCTTGCATAGGAGTTCACCACCCAACAAACCCCACACCTTGGAGTTTACGGCCGTAAACTCATGGGTTTATGGCCGTGAACTCCTCAAAGGGTGGTCTTGGGTGTTTTATGGTGCTATCTTGATCCTAGAACACTCCTAGCTTTGTTGGAATAACACATGAAGTAGTTTAAGGCTCTAGAATACCCCATAGTGGAGTTTTCGGCCTAAAGTCCATTCACCCTAGAGTTTACGGCCGTAAACTCCTATGGGGTGATGGCTTTTAATTGTTTTGAGGCTCTTACACATCAAGGATGGCTTCCATGAATTTATCTAAGGCTAATGGGGACAAGAGGCACACTTTTGTGCCTTCACTTGGAGTTTACGGCCCAAGATATGTTCCTTGGCTGTAAACTCCTTTCAAGGAGTGATTTTTATGTGTTCTACTCTCCATTCTAGTCCCAAGTACTCAAGGTAAATTGTCTTAAGGCCTAAGGTGTGTTTGGAATGATTTTTACCCTTAGAAAAGGGGTTTACGGCCCAAGATCCTTCCTTGGCCGTAAACTCCTATAATTCTATCATTTTGAAGTGTTTTGAAGTCCAAACTAAGCACAAGTATTAGTGGTTAAAGTCCTTAGGCTCAAGGAGGCAAGTTAGGGCATGTTTGACCCTTAAAAAGGGGTTTACGGCCCAAGAAAGTTCCTTGGCCGTAAACTCCTCTAACTTGTTGATTTTGGATGCTTTCTAGTCTATAAAGATCATACACAAGGTCCTTTACACGTTGTCTAACACGGAATCGGGACTAGGAAGCCTTAAAGTTCCATTTTGGAGTTTACTCCCCAAGAACGTTCTTGGGCGGTAAA